GAGGCTTGTCGGTTTTAGGAACCGCCAATTCCTAAAGAAGGGGTTCTCCAAGCTGTCATCTACAGAGTGCTGAGGGGGAGAGTCTCCCTGGAATGGGAGTCTCCAATTCCACAATTTGGGAGATTGCCGACACTCATCAGGCCTTCTTAATGACTGATCAGGAGAAAGGAGAAGGCCGCTTGGGCAGTCGAGCTCAACTTGATAGGCGATGGGTTTGTCTGAGTTTTTGTTGATCTTTCCCTCTCATCCATCTTTGTTTTTCAAAGAATTCCAGGGAATTGGCTTCATCGGAGTGGGTCAGTATGTGGCTCCAGACACCCCCACCTCCAAATCCCAAAACGCCCCAGCGGTCAGGACAGGCCGGGCAGGGCAGGGCTGTACTGGTTCAGACATCCCAAAGTCCGAACCTGGATCACGTCACTAGCGGACTGTGACGGTGATGGTCTGGGTGTACCGTTCTCTCCTGAGCAGTTGTGTCCCATAATCCTACACCGATTGGTGATTCCAAGTCGACCAGTTCTGTAACAACAAGACTGATGAGGAGCGCCTTCGTCTCTCACTTGTGTCCCTCCGGCTGTGGTTCGCAGTCTGTAATCTCTCTCTGGTGGGTGGTATCGTGGAGAGCATGTCAACAGGTCTTCTCCAGCCTGCTCTTTGGGATCGGCCTCAGTGTGGAAAGTTCTCTTGCCTCCTTGGCTTGAGCTGTGTCCCAGCAGTCTGGCTCATGCGGATGAGGGCAATGGGACAGTTTTCTTCAGGTAAAATATGGGATTAAATTGGGGGAAAATGTGATTTATCTTAAACTGTGGCCACTGCATTAAGCCGGCCTGTGTTTTATTGTTCTTATCAACTGAGCTGGAAAAACCAAACGATAATGTTTATTTTTCTTGGGGCAGAGGATGATTAAATCCAGGTGTTTGGATACTCGGTGTGTGTTTTGCACTTTTTGTGTTGTGGCTCACTTTCCATTTATTTTCAGCCTGTGTTGTTTTCCCAATATAGTTTGTAGTTAGAGCTGAGGCACTGGGAGAGACAGAGGGAGGCAGTGTGGCCAAGCTGAGGAGAGGTATAGGTTTAATGTCGGGCTCATAAATAAGTCAAGTAAGAAGGGGACAGTGTTCCTGCCAGTGACAGTGAAAGCAGGAATGCCCTTTTCCGCTCAGGACAGTGGCCTACCACTCAGTATCTGAAGCCACAAGGCCCTCCAGCCTTACATTACGCTACAAGTCAGGAATTTCACTTTGGCCTCTGTTCAGTCCAGATTATACAACTCCAAAAATCCAACCAGAGAGGAAAAAAAAATTGAACTGGATCAGCGCAATCAGCTCACGTTAAAATGAAACCCTCCTCCATAACAACTGTGCCTCCTGGGACCTGTTTAATGACCTCAAAGAATTATCTGGGCAAGAATTCCACTATTAAAAAAATCCCTGGTTGTCATTATTGTTGTAATTTTTCCACAGCTCTCAAATCCTGACTCAGAAAAATCTGTGTAGCATTAGGGGGGTGGGGGGGGGGAATCTTAGAAACTATGTCATTGTTTTGTTGTAAAAGAGCAAAAGGGGGGG